TGACAGCATGCGCCGGATTTAACAAGGCACGATATAATAAATTGTTTTTTTCTTTACCTGGTATCTTGTTAATTGACGCGGCTATGAATGGATGTGTTAAATACTGTATAAATTGTCCCATCGCTTAGTCACGTAATAGGCAAGTGCATTGCATTTGATAAGATATTGCCTCATGCCACGCCGCCTACAGATCTAATTGGAAATAAGATCTCATGCACCAGTTAGATAGTTCTGTGTGTGTGGAATGTACATATGCCCATACGCATGTTTATGACCTTAGTTGGCCTATATGTAGCAGTATGTACTTCAGATACAATTACCGAAGGATTATCTACCTTAACATTTTCTTCCACAATAAAGTGCCTAGTATATACTATGAAAGAATGTCACATAGTGGGCAAAGTATCAATAACTCAAAAGGGAATATGCATATCTGTGTTCGTATGTCGGGAAGCTGGCTTTAGTATAATGCAACATTCCTTTTATTATTTAGACGGCAAGGATTTCTTGCTCGTTTATTTGTCAAAAGTTCTTCAACCTCTCGGCGCCAGAAAGTCATTCGCAATCGTATGCTGCGGATGTCGCATATTAAAGCGAGCCTTTCGACATAAGCACAACTTCGCTCCGGCTACTGCAGCAGGTTGAACTCCTACTTGAGTAGGTTGAATGAGGATGTGCCGAATGAGTGTCCGGCATGCGGAGAGACCCCACATGACTCGAAACATCTCTTCGCATGCCCGGAAAACCCGACAACCCTAACGGCCTTGTCCCTGTGGACAAACCCCACAGAAGCTGCACGCTTCCTAGGGTTGCCGTTAGTGGAACTTGACGACAACGACTGAGATACCAACCGTCCTGGGCGGGGTTGTTGTAGCCGCTACAACAACAACAACAACATAAGCTACTGTTCCATATGAACACGGATATGTATGTAGGTAAAATCATTTTATCGTTTTGTGTTCATACAGATACTAAAGTTTAAATTAATGCATATAAATATGAAAAATTCGTGTCAGTAGTCATTTGAAAGGCATTTACAAGGCATTTACAATTACCATTTCTAATCATTTAATATTTCCAGTTTAGAACATTAAGGTATTCCTGGAAAATATGTGATTCTATATTAGCCATAGTAAACCTCACAGGGCCTTTGTCACTTGCCAGCTTCTTCTTCCGTCTCTGTGAGTTTGAGCCCAAAGAACCGTGCTGCAATTATAGATGCAGATCATAAGGCTTCTGACATCATGAACATAGAGTTAAAGGAGTACGCGATGAGCTGGATAGTGCTTAAGGCATTTCTTTGCTCTTTTAATAAGAACAACCTTGTTTCTCGTTTTTTTTTTACAATTGGAGGGGGAGTGCCGTTAAAGAAGATGCTATGAACCGCCTCTTCCAACATTAGCTGTCAAAATGTGGGCGCCATGGACTTCCACGTTAAGATTTAGCCTGATATTAGCCATGTGGTGAAAACTTTGGAAATGTACATACATACATATGTGCATATATCGCCGGCGAATCTTCACAGTGACCCAGTACAAAGATAGACGGTTCTGCATTACCTCGTCACCATATCATAGGTTTTGTTGTGATGGTCCGTGACTGATATGTAACCATTGCCTAAAATTATTTATATATGTTGAGACGGCATTTTAATTATAAATTTGCAGTTACCTTTGTAGCTTCGTAATTTTTCTTTAGAAACCTGGGCATTTGTTTAACTTGCGTTGGCAGACATTTAAAATGTAAAAATAAGCCAGAATTTGTATAGTTATAAACATTTATTGTAGTCGCTATCTTTCCATAATATACACCCTGTTGATTTATCAGTCGATTACTGGTAAAGAGAAAATAATAAAAAAATATTTTGGTCACAAAGTTTCTCAAAGAGCACAAAGAGTGGCATGACTCACGTGTACATATGTATATATATGCTCTTTTTGATCTCCAAGAGTGTGCTTTGACTTCTTCTCAATACACTTCCTCTTCATCCTCATGCAATACCCATTTACTTAAGTCCATCAACGCTGGTTCTTACCTTCCATGGAGTGCCAAAGGAAGTCTCCGCTGAAGCAGCCTTCGCTTTCTTTTTTTCCCGTTACTTTGTTCCCCGATTCCAGTGTGTGTGAATCATATGGGTCGAAACAATTTCTTTGTACGAGTATACTGCACGTCCAGCGTGTGTTTGTTTTTCTTTTGTACGAGTTGCTTCGCTTGACCATCCGTTTGCTATGAGAGTACGTCGCACTTTGGACGTATGAACGTAAAGAAAAGATCTAAAAGAATTGGTGCTAAAAGAACAGTACCAAGTAAAGAGTATTATAAAGATCCGAAAAATAAAATTACAAACAAGTTTAGGAGAGCGGGTATTATTAGGGGCAGTGGCGTGTAGAGTGTAATGTATAAATTGAGTAATAGTATGCAGGCATGTGTATACATAATATGAATGTGTAGATATGTACTCATATACATACATACATATTGCAGCGCAGCAGTACATATAATGTGTGTAATATTTATTAAAATAAATATTATTAATAGCATAAGAGAAAAACCGTATCTGATAGAATACAGTTAACCGCCCAGACTTTCAATTCCTTCATCACACAGATTTTCGACTCTGCCTAGTATGATTACGGTTTTAGTTTACTTAACTTGTTTTAGTACATACATACTTAGTTGACGTTATAACTATGTACATATACATATTGTGTACACATACGCACATACTATGTGCATATGCATCGTGCTTTGATTGACTTAATTAGTATTGCTGTTAAGCAAACTTTTTAATATACATATATACATAAATATGTATGTACATATGTAAGGATATACATACATACAGCCATACATACCCTGCAAACCAAAGTTCCCGAAATCGTTAGGAGTATCTCATTTCTGTAACGATTTTTTTTACGAATATTCAAAGAAAATTATATGAAGGGGTTGACACAAACTCGTAAAAAAAAATCTCTACACGAAAAATAAAGAAAATTCTGGAAAAATTCTGCAAGATATTCTTCACATAGCAGCATTACCCTGCAAACCGAAGTTCACGAAATCTTAAGGAAATNAGGTGCTTTGATTGGCTTAATTAGTATTGCTGTTAAGCAAACTTTTTAATATATACATAAATATGTATGTACATATGTAAGGATATACATACATACAGACATTCATACCCTGCAAACCAAAGTTCCCGAAATCGTTAGGAGTATCTCATTTCTGTAACGATTTTTTTTACGAATATTCAAAGAAAATTATAGGAAGGGGTTGACACGAACTCGTAAAGAAATTTCTGTACGAAAAATAAAGAAAATTCTGAACGATATTCTTCATATAGCACCATTATTTTCGTTGCTTCACAGATTTTCTTCCGAAATTTCGTAAAAGAATGGAAGTGTGCGTAATTTATTTCATTTTAGAAAATTCNACACGAACTCGTAAAGAAATTTCTGTACGAAAAATAAAGAAAATTCTGGAAAAATTCTGAAAGATATTCTTCATATAGCACCATTATTTTCGTTGCTTCACAGATATTCTTCCGAAATTTCGTAAAAGAATNTATAAATATTTATCAAACTGTTAAAAACCTTTACATATGTATGTTTCCCGGGTTCCTTTATCAACAGTAGGAAATTCTTAAAGGAATTTTTTTCATTCCTCTGATATTAAAAAAGGTTCTAGAGTAAAATTCAGTACTCATTCCTTCCACTTCATTCAATATACAAACATATTTTCTACTTATTTTCCCTATTAGCAGGTTTGGCTGGAGTTTGTGTTGAATTTGCGATCCTTTCTAGCATCGCTTTAGTAACGTAGAACCGATCACCGAAGGATCGAAAAATACTTNAATGGTTTGCAGGGTATATAAATATTTATCAAACTGTTAAAAACCTTTACATATGTTTCCCGGGTTCCTTTATCAACAGTTAGAAATTCTTAAAGGAATTTTTTTCATTCCTCTGATATTAAAAAAGGTTCTAGAATAAAATTCAGTACTCATTCCTTCCACTTCATTCAATGTACAAACATATTTACTACTTATTTTCCCTATTAGCAGGTTTGGCTGGAGTTTGTGTAGAATTTGCGATCCTTTCTGGCATCGCTTTAGTAACGTAGAACCGATCACCGAAGGATCGAAAAATACTTTGTATACTCACAAAGCGCCTGATCTGTATTTACATACATACCCATACTCGCTCCAAATCGAAAGCTAAACGATCGTATACTCTTTATAAGAACGTCACCGAGGAATATAGGTACATAAAAATATCTCGTTCCAATTTTGGATTGGACTACTGTGCATCGTTTTGGCAGCCAAATATGTACATACATACATATGTATTTATGAAGACATGCAGTCAGTAAGACGATATCGCCGCAAAATCGAGAACAAAAAATATCATTCAAATCGCGTTGCGATCTCTGGAGCTTAGCTTTCTGATATTTGACTACCTNGTCAGTAAGACGATATCGCCGCAAAATCGAGAACAAAAAATATACAAATCGCGTTGCGATCTCTGGAGCTTAGCTTTCTGATATTTGACTACCTGACTGTTTGCCAGCTAGCTTGCTCTATTGTCCGACTGAACTCTCCCTCTCTATGCATAGATATGTATTCCCTCCCTGCCTATCCAGCAGTCTACGTTCAGGCAGGTTTGGCTCTTCGTGCTATATACTTATGTATATAATATACATATAAACTTCATATATGTAAGTACATTTGTATGGTATTTGACTGCTTGCTCATTGTTTAGTTGCCGTCGCGCCGGCCCGTTTTAATCACTTTACTCTGCGCTCACTGCGCATACAGTACTCGGTGTTCACTGTTCGTTGTCGTTGGAAGAAAAACACTTTTTCGAAAGCATCAAGTTTGCCTTGTATTTATGTGTTCAAATGTGAAAAAAATTATTAAAAAATCTTCTATTGGACTTTTAATTAAAAATTTCGTTTCACTTCAGTTTGTTTCGTTCACAAAAATTTTCTCTCAAAACAAAAAATAAAACCACTTGATTTGGAAATTGCAAAAACCCCGATTAAATAAAATTCGTGAAAGCCAAGAACCGATTTCGCAGCCGAATTGCTATTGCAAAGCATAAAAAGGAAAACACAACAACAACAAAAAATACAGCGATATTATATTTATACGTTACCAAAAGAAAAAATAGAACACTGCTGTCGCACAACTCAGTGAAGAGCCACGCGAGGCCATCGAAGTAGTTAAGCAGCAATATCAGCAACGCCTGTCACAAAAAATACAATATAGTAGTGGACCGCCGATATACAAAGTATACTGAAGCATCTGCTGCTTATAAGCCAGCCAGTGATCGAGTAATAAATCTTGCTACACGCCAATACTAAGTAAAAAGGCCAGTGAAACCAATTACAGCTAGAAAGCAGAAGCACAAGAGACACAGTCTCAGCTCCGATCGGAAGCTGAGAAGTAGAATTGTTGGAGTGAGCTCTGCTGGTGGTGAGACTTTGCGATTTGCGTCTCTCGGCCTGCAACAAAAGACAACAACTGTTTCTTGCTTTTGCAATCACTTACAGTATTCGCGAATCGTTCAGCACACTTTCGCTTTTAGCAGCTACTTCAGGCATTTGTCATACACCGCCCCTCCCTCAAGTTAAAAAAGACCCAACAAAAAGTTGTTTGCTACTGTGCATTTGATTGATTGATATTCGTGGCATGATGTTTCAGAGCGACTTTCATAGGAAGAAAAATTTCGCAAATCCTAATTTGTTCAATGTAATTAAATTATTTTTCCCTTTTTTGTTTTAGTTAAAAATTGCAAATAAATTTTAACTTCAAGCTTTGTTATGTTATTTGCAGAATTCCACAACTGCGGAGAACGCTGCGCCTGTTGCTCAGCCAACACCCGCTAGTGGTCGTCCAGATGCGAAGGAGGAAAACAAAGAGCAAGAAGAAGTGCGTACGGAACACCTCTTCAAACACCCTCTGCAAAATACCTGGACTTTGTGGTACTTGGAAAATGATCGCTCGAAGTCATGGGAAGACATGCAAAACGAAATCACCAGCTTCGATACAGTTGAAGACTTTTGGAGGTGAGTAATGCCATTTAAATACAATGCAAGATAGATACATTTCTTTATTTAGTTATAATTTTTATATTGTGTTATAATTTCAAAGTAACCACTATATCATACAAATTTTAAGTTGTATAACAACTAAAAGTATTGCCGGGTGAAACTCATTTGCAATTAGGTATACTTTAGCTTAATTAGCTGCAACGAGGACACTGCGATTGACCATTTAATCTGTTAACAATGGCGCTTGAAACATTCTGAATGCTTGGTTAAGTTACTTCACCTATTAGTTCAAGAACAGCAATCGACCTCCGTTAAGTGTTAATCATGGAAATCATGTGTTATTACCGCTTTTTTTTACATTCTTAAAATTGGCTTATTTGTTGCCAATTTCTTTGACATACATAGTATTTAAATTTTGTTAAATAATAAACCATTGGGGAACTTTTTCGACTTTCTTCACCAAACCTAAGCAACTTGCCTCATTTGCAAATCATCTTATAAATAAAAATTCTAAATTCAAATAAATTGCTGGCCAAATATCACCACGAGCAAAATATACAAAAGAAAAGTAATGGATGTTTCCCGGCACCTTAGTCTCTAATCCTGTTAATGCCCTCATCATAGTCGCATTTTATAGAACTTATCGCTATAGGAAACTTGACGTTGCCCCGTATTAAATATCTTATGTCTCATACTTAACCCAATCCCAAAGTCCGAATAAATAAATCTACAAATTACTAAATTAAATAAACATCTTTCTTTAATTTTCAGTCTCTACAATCACATCAAACCTCCATCTGATATCAAAATAGGCAGCGATTACTCTTTATTTAAGAAAGGCATCAGGTATACAGCGTCTGATTTTATATAAAACTACATGTGCAAACATTTATTTCGTTTTTCAGACCAATGTGGGAGGATGCGGGCAACAAACAAGGTGGCCGCTGGGTTATTACACTGAATAAGAGTTCTAAGGCAGATTTGGATAATTTGTGGCTTGATGTTGTAAGTGCATATTGTAGTTTATGCAATCGATAATATCGTATACTACATACACTACTTCATTTTTAGTTGCTTTGCTTAATTGGTGAAGCGTTTGACCATTCAGATGAGATTTGCGGCGCTGTTGTAAACATACGTGGCAAGAATAATAAAATTTGTAAGCTTAACTATTTCTCATTACGAACCTCTGATATATTTATTGTAATTTTTATTTTAACCATATTTAGCTATTTGGACAGCTAATGGCAATAACGAAGAAGCTGCATTGGAAATTGGGAATAAACTGAGAGAAGCCTTGCGTTTGGGCCGTCAAAATTTGCAATATCAGCTACATAAGGACACAATGGTTAAACAGGGTTCGAGTGTAAAATCAATTTATACTCTCTAAAAACTACATACGTTTACTACCCCTCACACATCCATATACATGAACGCTGAAAACCCGTTAGTTAATCGAGTCAAGAAAATATTTAGTATACTAATCGTGCGAATCAATAACAATTAATTTAAAGAATCGAAGAACTACAAAGGAAAATTACACAACTAAAATCCACACAACCAAGCCAAGCCAACCATTGCAAGTAGTCATCGACGTTGCTTATTCAGATATTGAATCGCAGAGTTGGCGCTTCAAAAACCTATTTCATGGTAGCTGAATATGCAAGGAGTTAACGGAATTAAAACCCGCACACCATAAACAAACACCCAAATAATACACCAACACAAATTATACAAGAAAACTTTGTTAAATGAAGATACAAATTTGTTTTACTATAGGAGAGATGGAAGCAGTGGTAGACACAAATGCAAATACAACGCCTATTCCAGGCAAATTAGTGACGATGAAATCTAAAACGCTATTATAAAATTGAAGGAAAATATATTTAATATTGATGATAGGGAGAAGCGATGAAACTGCAAAGCAGGTCTTTCAGCCACAATTATAATCGTAGATATGCATAAAAGCCAAAGGAGCTTGCTTTAAAAACTTGAAGCTTTTCGGGACTGACTGCTTTCATTGTCACTATTTGCTGGGTATGACTTAGTTCGCTTACAATTGTAGTCGTTATCCAATCCTATGCGTGTTTTAATGTAAACGAATATGGAATTAAATCTAATAAATTTAATAAAACATAATTTATGCAAGTTTATTAAATGGATATTTTTGCACCAAACGAAATATTTATATCTTTTAGTTGCGGAGCCCACGGTGGTTAATCGGGATCTACTCGAGCGCTGTGGGGACCTATTGGATTTTGAAGATTAAGGGCCGGTTGGTCAATGTCTGATTAACACAAATCGGAGGGAGAAGTTCCGGTTAAATACAAAGCCTGCTTTATCGATACTGATGTACTGGTGATAACCAGAAATTGAACAACCGGCCCTAAATGAATGAAAGAAAAGGTACGTGATGTATTCTTTCAGCGGTGGTTGATCTACAGACGTTCAAAATTGTATAAACAGTCCCATCGAAATACTCTGTTGTATGTGCGTGGGAGTACACAATTTACTCAAGCGCGTCATGTATTCACAAGGGATGTTAAGAAAGCCCGAATGAAGCTTCCATTCAATAATCTGACGATTCAGATGTGACGCAACCCGACACA